AGGCTGTTTATTAAGATATTAAACTGCATGATCTTCCCGTTCTATTCCATTTCTCTTAGCTCATCCAAGGTTTTGGATTTCCATTTTGAGGACAGCTTACTTGGGCCTTTGTTTCCAGTCCAAACTCTTTGGTTTTCTACCTTCTTCCTCAATATTTAGTGCCTTCCTTCTTGCTTTGGATAATAAGGGAAGAGAAAGCAAGTATTGCAACAGAGAATGAAACTGTGTGAGGAAAGTTGGGGTGGTGTGTGTGTTTCATCAGCCCAGTTCCTCACAGCAGCCTTTGTAGTTGTTCTCTGCCAACTCTGATTTTCCCTGCAGAATCTGTAATTCTTTGTGCTTTTCCTTAAAGCCGTAGCTCCTGGAGTCCCATGATTTTCTAATCACTTCTGTGTGAGCCCAAGTGAGTCGCAGCAGATGGAAAACACTGGATGGCAATGACCTCTACTGCTGAAAAAGCTCTAAGTGTAAAAAAGAAAAGCTTCTAAGTGTAATCCTCGAAAACCTGCAAAGCAGGGACCTAATGAAAGGAGCTCAGCCCTCTATTTTCTATATATTTTTTGTTTTATATATTTGTATTGAAATATATTTTAAAATGTATTACATTATTATTTATGATTTTGTTTGTTTTCTTCCTGGATAGCCTAGATGTATGGTTCTAAATTTTTGGGGGGTTGGGTTAAATAGGATTTAGAGAAACATATTACTTTACACTTATAAAAAGAAACCCTGCTTCAAAGGTTGTGGCAGAGATTTACCTGGCTGCAATCTTACTGCTTATGACCCTGACAAGATGACACAATGGGAGCAGAATTCTGCATTTTGGTGCATATCCTTTAAAACATTGATGAGCTGGTGCTGCGCTGTTGATTCCCATGTATTTGGGAGGAATCATCTGCTTTTCTGGCAACTCTGTTGCTGTTCCAGATCTTGCTAGAGCTGATTCATGAGGGCTCTCTGTGTTGATCTACTTGGTTTGGAGTATCAGCCTTGGCATATGGTTTGCCTTGAAACAGGAGTCTAATCCCACTAAGTAGCACCTAAAATACTGAAAATACTGAGGAAACCTGAAAACAAAACACAGCTTGTGGCTAAAAAGCACAATTTGTGACAGCTGACAAAGGAAACACTGAAATGAGAATTAGCTGCAGTGATTTGAGGTTTTATGTTCAGGGCCTCACCTCCCTCACAGGGAAGAATTTCTTCCTAATCTCTCACCTAAAGCTACTTTCTTTCAGTTTGAAGCTGCTGTATTCTCGCTCTTACAGCCCAGCTGGCTCATCATGGGCTGCTCTGGGCCAATTCAGGCCTCTGATCCAGCCAAGAACCATGTGTTTCTGTGGGTCAGGGATGGTTTTTTTTTGGTTTTTTCTTTTGTGTGTGTGTGCTGGGAGGAGTGGGTCAGCTCCTGCATGCCCTGGCTGCTGCAGGTGTTGCAGCTCTGCCCTTGGATGCAGCCCCTGCAGCACTGCCGTCCCATTTGGAACGTGCTCTGGGAATAATGTCAGAGCAGGAGCTGTTTCTCCGCAGCCCAGTGGTGAGGAAGGGCGGCTGTGTGGGGGTGTGTGTCTCCGCTCCAGCAGGACCCACCAGCCAAACCCTTTGGTGAATCACAGGGAGGCTGGAATAAACTTCAAACGTGCTCAAGGCTCTGCACGAGGCTGTCAGGCTGTAATTTGTGGCTGGCTCTGCTTCCTCTCCTCCTCCTGCTGCAGTCTGAGTGGAAATGCAAAAGAGTCTGAAAGGCAGGCCGCTGTGGAAAATGCCTCTCTTTATTTATTTTGCTTGTTTTGGGTGTTTTTCTTTTGCAAAGAGAACGCTTCTCCCGCAGAGCTGGCCGCGGCTGCAAAAGCAGAGCCTGCAGGGGCCTCTGGCTGGCCTCCAGGGATTGCCAAACAGGGATTCCTCACGTGCCCCACTTGTGCGAAGCACAGAACGGGGTGACGTGGAAGGAATTTGTGTGCTGTAGGCGAGGCAAAAGTGAGCATCAAAACCAGCCCTGGTGCTGGCCCGGCCCAACTGGTCGGTAGGGAGGCAGCTGCAAAGTGGGTCATGTGTGCAGCAAAGTCCCTCGCTCGGCTCCTCCCGCTCACTTTCTCCACTCTGAGCACATGGCTCCCAGAAAATGGGGCTGAAAACCAAGTTTGGGCTGGGCAAGGCCTGCTTCTCCCTCAGCTGCAGCCAAGTGACTCAGCTGTGTGGCACTGCAGGCAATGATCCTTCCTGAGAAGCCTCATCTGGGAGGTTTATCTGCAGGAAAACCCCAAATCTCAGCAAAAGCAGAAGGTGGAAGGCAGACAGTGGCTGCAGCTCGTGCCCTCAGTGCCAGCGTCACATCTGGTCCCAACAGGCTGAGATATCCTTTGGAGTTTCCCTCTCTTCCAAGCATTCACAGCAAACAGCTGCTGCTTGAACTCTTGATGCCACTTTATTATTTCCATTTTTAAAGGAGGAAACTAGCAGGCAGTATGGCAAGACCAGGAAAGATGTGTCATGGAGACAATTTGTTAATGCCAGATATTGAGAGAGGGGGAAAAAAAGAGTCCCAAATCAATGGGAATTGGCAAATCTCCAGGAAAACCTGGGCTAGCCTGAAATGCTAACAGACTGAGGGTAGGAACCTGCTGGCTCCAAGCTACTCCTTCCTTCCCCCTGTCCTTCAGCTCCCAGAAGAAAAACACCCTGCCTGCTGAAACAGCTCTCCTGTTCCAGACAGTCTTACTTAACCTCCTGTTAAATATCCTTCACAAAGCTCCTTTTTTTTGGTGTGTGATTTCCCAGGTTAGGAGCTGGCTGCTGGTTGGAAGGTGGAGGTGCCTCGTCAACACTTTGTGTGCACTCCTGAGATAAGGGCAGCACACTGAGCCCTGCCTGGGCAGGGTGGCTTTAGAGCCTGGGTAAAGGTTGCTTGTTTAGTCTGGCCAAAATTGGGGGTGGCTTTCTGCCCCGCTGATTCAGTCTGGGTGCACCTGGCTCCAGTTTGGGAATTACCCAAGAACCTGATGATATGATAGCAGAGGCTCTGGAGGCTTCAAATGAAACTGTGCTCTCCTGTGGAGGGGCAAAGGCTCTGTGCAAGCATCAAGTTCCCCTGATGTGGTTTGTGTACAAAATCACGGGAACTGGGGCTCCTTAGCTGGCCTTTTAAAAGGGTCTTATAAGGAAAGGAGAAATGTGTGTTAGCAGGAAAAAGTGAAACAGAACAGATCCACTTCCTCCTAACCCCTGTGCTGCAAGTAAACCTTAAATGTTATCCACCAAGTCTGGGCCTTGAAAAACGAACGTGTAGGTAAGGCCCTAATAAGGTAAAAACGTGTGTGCCCTCAGATGAAGGGCAGCACCTGGAAGGTGCCCACAGGGAACAGGGTGAGCTGGGCACAGACCAAGCTGTTTAGATGGGAGAGGTTTGTGGAAAGCTGGGCTGGTTCAGTTTGCTGATCCAGACAGGAAAACAACGTTTGGATTTTTTCTTTTTCCTCTCCTTTGGGTTAGTTTGTTTTTTCAGTTAGCTGCATCAGTGTGTGAAAAATGCATATTTTATGATTGGCTTTTCACAAATATTCAAAAGAATTTTATATGTGTTGTGTTAGAAAGTAATGCTGTATTAATTCTCTTAAGTAGTGTGTTAGATATAGTTTTAGGTTATAACAAAATGTTAAAATAGAAACTGTGCTATGTAAGACACTTTTTTTCTAAAGAAAGGACTCGCACTGAGGTAGCAGCCACAGGACACCCAAATCTTTTAGAGAAAGAGAATTTATTGCCCTCTTATCAGAAGAAATGAACTTCTTCCCACCTCAAAGGCACTGTCAGGATTCAGAGGAAGAAGCTGACACTGCCCAGACAGAATCCTGGGTTTGAATGGAATTCATGCATCGTGTATGAATATGCAACAGGTTATTACTTTTAAGGGTCCAAATTATCACTACTCTAATTGTATTACTGTTTTAATAACCATTTTATTACTATTAAACTTTTAGAAACAAGTGATTGGCTTTTTTCACAAGTGTAAGAGACAAGACAGGAGTAAGAGGCTGGGAGACAGCAAGTGAATGCAGGCTGTTCTTAATTATACTTTTAATTGCTGCTCGTTTGGAGCACAGGGATGCCTGGCTGCCCTGTGACAAGGAAAAAGCAGCATTGCCATTGTGTCCCAAGCCAGATGGAAACCCCATGAGGGGAGGCACTGGGGTGGCACACACCCAGCGTGATGTTTGGTTCTGCAGAGACCTCACAGCACATCCTGCTATCTGAAGGAGCTGTGAAAAACGCCAGTCGCTTGTATTTAATTTTTTAAAAGTTTAATAGTAATAAAATGGTTATAAAAACAGTAATTAGAGTAGTAATAATTTGGACAATTCGAATTAGGACAATATGAGACAATAGAAACAAAGAGTTACGGAGGTCCAGGTACCTCTTTCTGGGCAAAATAAGCCCGAAGAAGGCCCCACGTTAACAGAGGATTAACCCTTTAAAGCAACAGCCTGTTGCATATTCATACACCTCATCCATGATGCATAAATTCCATTTTGGGAAGTGTCAGCTTCTTCCTCTGAATCCTCATAGTGTTGTTCTGCCCGAGTGAGGCAGGAAGAAGTTCGTTTCTCCTGATAATGGAGCAATAAATTCTCTTTCTCTGAAAGACTTGGGTGTCCTGTGGCTGCTATCTCAGTGCGAGTCCTTTCTTTAGAAAAAAAGTATCCTACATAGCATAGTTTCTATTTTAACATTTTGTTATAACCTAAAACTATATGTAACACACTACTTAAGAGAATTAATACAGCATAACTTTCTAACACAACACATATAATATTCATTTTAATATTCGCAAAAATTTTTCACAGAGGCCACAGGGAAGCGGGGGAGGGATTCTTCACCAGCAGTGGTACAATTTGAATGAGAGATAATTTAGGTTGGATATCAGGAGGAAACGTTTATTACTGGGAGGGGGTTGAGGCACTGGCACACGCTGGCACAGGGAGGTTTGTGGATGCACGATCATGGAGCTGTTCAAAGCCAAGTGGGAGACAGTGGGAAGTGCATGGTATTGGATCGGAAAAGGCGCATTCCAACCCCTTAACTCTGTGTCTCCATGTTGGTGCGTGCCTCAATCAGATGCCGCCAGCCCGGCTGGTCTGTGTGGGGGGAACTCCCACCTTTGGGACTCCCACTGCCTTAAGGCAGCGGAGGCAAAAATCGCCTTGAAGGCTCTATTTCTTCCCGGCTAGACACCGCTGTTGGCAGCGGCGAGAGCCGCAGGAGAGTTGGGGAGCCGCAGTTCCGGCCGCCCAACACAAACTCGCGGCCGCCATTTTGCCTCCCCTCAGCAGCCCCAGCCCCTCACACCCCCCGGTCCCGCCACTGCGCGCGCGCGCGGGGGCGGGGCAGCGCGCGCGCGTGCGCCTCCCGCCGCTATATAAGGGCGGGCGCGGGCGGTGCCGGCGGCGCCGCATTGCAGACGGGCACGGAGGGGGAAGCGATGGCGCGGCCGGTGATCCTCGGGCTGCTCAGCCTCCTCGGGCTCCTGGCCGCCGGTAAGCGCTGCCCTCTGCCTGCCGAGCCCCTTCCCCATCCAGCCGAGCCTCGGTGGGCTCGGGGAGAGCGCCCAGCGTGCGCGGGACGAGGGGCGAAGGCCGGTCCTGAGGCTGTTTATGAGGGAGCGTGAGGGCAGTGGGGTTTCTAGGGCGCCTTCGGGGTGGCTGTGATGGAAAAGCTGTGTTTGGAGGGGGCAGAGTCGCCCAAAAATAGCCCTAGGGCAGGGAGAAGGGGGAGTCCCCCTGAGGATCCGGCCGTTCCCGCTGGTGGGAAAAATATATGGTGGGGAAATAAATGCTTTCCCCATGGAAGCGTGCTGGATGTGCGGCCTCGTCCCACAGAGCCCAGGCTGCTGGGGACATTGGGAGGGATTTTGTTGTTTTTCCCCTGCCAGCAGCGCTGTTTATCTCCGCCACTTCGGGGATAGATGGCTGCTAATCCTCTTGCGGATGGCGGGAGGCTGCCTTGGCTGTGCTGTTTCTGCATTAGGATCTCCTGCTCCCCATGGAAAATTCCGCTGATTTTGCTGCTCGCCGTCTCGTTGCCTGTTGTTGCTGAGGGTGAAAGTGATGGGGGATGGATTATGGTCTCCCTTTAGCTGTAGGATTCGAGGTTACAACATTGCAGAAGCTTGACAGAAATGATTCATAGTCTGGGGAGCAATAATACGCCTTTAGGCTGTGGGATGCAATAGCTAGAAAGCCCAAAATGTAAGGATTTATGCAGTGATGTCCGCATTTACTTGCAGAATTTTCTTGTAGATTAGACTATTTAATATTAAAGCTTATTTGCTCATGAGCTTAACCTGCAGTATTTCAAAAGTAAAAAAAAAAAAAAAAAGGAGGCCCAACTGGCTGTTTAAAGGCCATAGGAGTAACCAGCTGGCAGTAACCAGTACAGTAAATAATCCTGTGAAATTTTTCATGATTGTACATGAGTTTTGTCCTTTATTGTAGTTGTAATGTTATAAAATCGTAGGATGGCCTGGTTTGCAAGAGACCTTAAAGGTCATTTAGTTCCAACCCTCTGCCTAGGACAAGGGACACTTTCCCCTAGATATACTGATAATGTTTAATATGCTGATATGTGGACAGTTTAATGGGTTACCTCAGAATTTTCAGGCAGGAAGCAAGACAGCAACTCTCAGCTTTCCCTCTGCGTGTTTATGTGCTTTCACAGTGTCCTCTGAGTCTGCTCCACACTGAATTAGCTGCCATCACTTGCCACTCCTTCTGGGACTGCTTCCAGGTGGCTGAAACCATTGCAGTTTCTTGGGCTCCGAAAGTGAAAAGGCTTCACCTTGAAGTGTACCCACCAGCTTTCCCATTAGTGTGTGCAGGGAAATTGTAATGAGAAACCAGTTCAGCAACGAGGGTTGGCTTGGCCTACCTGCTGAAGGCATGTCATGCAGCTGAGGGCAGCAGCAGACCAGTCAGGCCTGTTTGTCCTCAGAAGCCACTGTTTTTACACAAATAAACAGCTGTCTTTTCTCACCAGGGCTCTGGGTGCTCATTGTCTCACCTGCCGTGCAGATTTCCCCGAAGATTTTGCTGCAAACACCGTTCTGTCTGCCCTAATCAGCTGTGCAAACATCCAGCCACCCTTGTCAGATCCTAATGGAGTCGCTTGGCTGCCTGACAGGCCGTGAGGGTTTTTGGTTGACCTACTTACAGGGCTTCTGTGCATCTTCCCTTGAAGGGAGGCATTAAAGCAGGGTGTACAGGTCCTGGCATCTCTGGACTACTGATGTGCACTCTGATTGTTTCTTGTCTTTGAGGCCAGGCTGGGTGTGCTCTTAAAGCAGGACTCAGTTTAACTGAGTATTCCCCCTCCCTCTCTCCCTCCGTTTTTGCTAAATTAAAAGTTAAGCTGGGAGTGGAAAGTAAAAAATTTGAGGATATGATTTTTTTCACATCCCTCCTCCCCTAAAATATAGACTTGAAAACTGGTAAGGAAGGGAGATTGGAGTTAATGCGTGATTCCCCTAGCAAACTGGGGAACACGTGGGGACTGGAAATCTGTGAGCTGAATTAGCCTGGCTTGAAATTTTCTTGAGGATATGGATGAAGCAGATAACTGGGCTGCTCTGTAGTTTGCAGGCTTGTTCTGCTGTGAATGTGCTTTCTAACAAAAAGCAGCCCAGTGCTGCAGATTAAATTAGGAGAAGAGGGGAAGGTGTCTTGTGCCAGCAATGGTGTGAGCAGGGCAGTGACCACACCTTGACTCTTGTGTCCACTGCAGGAAAGACACGGAGCTGCTGGGGCATGTCCAGAGAAGGGAATGGAGCTGGGGAAGGGTCTGGAGGGTGAGTCCAGGTTGGGAATCAGGAGAAATTCCTTCTCAGAAAGGGCTGCCCAGGGAAGGGTCTGGAGGGTGAGTCCAGGTTGGGAATCAGGAGAAATTCCTTCTCAGAAAGGGCTGCCCAGGGAAGGGTCTGGAGGGTGAGTCCAGGTTGGGAATCAGGAGAAATTCCTTCTCAGAAAGGGCTGCCCAGGGAAGGGTCTGGAGGGTGAGTCCAGGTTGGGAATCAGGAGAAATTCCTTCTCAGAAAGGGCTGCCCAGGGAAGGGTCTGGAGGGTGAGTCCAGGTTGGGAATCAGGAGAAATTCCTTCTCAGAAAGGGCTGCCCAGGGAAGGGTCTGGAGGGTGAGTCCAGGTTGGGAATCAGGAGAAATTCCTTCTCAGAAAGGGCTGCCCAGGGAAGCAGTGGAGCCACCGCCCCGGGGGTGTTCAGGAAATGTCAGCTCTGGTCTGGATGGCAGCGTGGTGACTGGTCACAGCTTGGGCTCGGTGATCTCGGAGGTGTTTTCCTGACCCAAATGCTGCTGCGATAATACACAAATAAAATCGGTGTTTTCCTGGAGGAGTAGCTGGCTCTGAGGCACGGTCAGGCTGTCGCCCTGATAGCCCAGCAGTCATGTGCCCTGTGCAAACCTGCCCTTGCGCAATCCATCCCCCGCCTGCTTGCCGGGCAGGTATAAATAGAAAGGGCTGTGTCTCAGGAGCCGAGCCAGCCCTTGTGCCCGCCCCAGCCCCGGGCAGCCTTTCTGCAGCTCTGTTCATGCACCTCTGGCAGCACCGAGGGGATGGAGGGAGGAGCCGGGGACATGGGGCTTGTCAGCAGCACTGGATGTGTCACCTGATGCCAGCTGAGCTATTTCAGGGACGGCTTTTCTGCTGTAAAATGCAGGGACATCTGGGTTCTGTATCTGTTCCTGCTGCCTGCCGTGGGGTTTGTTCCAGTATCTCCTGTTCATCTCTTTCTTCAAAGCAGGTTGGGGCCTTACAACTCTGACATAAAAAGAGACTTTGTTTTTTCTTTCTTTGTTTTTTTCTGTTTGCTTTTTTTTAATGGAGCAGCTTTTAAATGCAATTTGTTTGCTGCTGCGAAAATATCGGAGTTCCTGTTGCACTTAAAAAGGCCACATTGAAGTGTGTGTGTGTATTTTAGGGCAGTGCTTCTCTGTGTTTGGTCATGAGGCAATGTTTAGTTTCAGATGCCTGATAGCAGATTTTCCCAGTCTTTCTGCCGTGGATATATTTGTCTAGTGAAAAAGGAATGATAAATACAGGATTTCTGCAGAGACTCCCATGAAATCTGTCCCCTGCATCCCTCCCCCCCCCCAAAAAAAAAACCCTCAGAGCAAACCCAGAAAGAATGGAGATGGACCACAAGTATGCCCCAAACACTTTACAGTATTTTTACAGGCATCTGCTGCAGGGAGAAATGCTGCTCATAACTTTTTGGGAATATCTTAGCATAGTGTAGGGGGCCACTTACTCCTGATGACTGCCAGGTGCCCTGGAACATCCATTTATGTCCAGAATCTTCTGGTTCTGCCGCAGGAAAATCTCAGGCAGCACCTGGCCAACTTGGACATTATTCTTTTGCAACCTTTGCAGTTACCTGGGACAATTTTCTGGGCCAGTAGAGGTGCTTTTACTGTCCCAGCTCATCTGGTTCTCTGCTCTCTTTAATTTTATTGTGATTGCTTGTACCTACACACACTGCTTCTCTTCTGGGGAAGAGAACACCTAGGGAACACCTGAGGCAGAGGCAGTGTGCCAAAATGAGAATGAGTTCCCAGCTTTGAGGAAGAGCCTGCTTGTGGTGTTAGCTCCAAACTCATTTCTTGCCCTTCATGCTAGTTAGAAATGTTTCAAGTTGGGTTTTCCCTCAGTAGATATTGGACAGGATGTTTGTAACTGGAATGCTGGTAACAGCATTCTTCCACTTTTTCTCCACTTTTTCTTCAAATTGCCTGTAATCCCTCAAATGTTATGGTCACTTTACTGCCTCATTAATCCAGAGGCCCTTCAAGAGTCGCTGGTGTGTGATGTGGTTACAACTTTTGAAGTTTTACTCATTAACTGACCACAGAGGCTGTGGAATATTGAGCCTTTCAGATAACTTTGGGTTGGGTCACTCCTCCTTCACTTCTTGACACTTTGTAAACTTTGGTGAAGAGAAGTTGGTCCCTCTTGATTTCTTTAACTTGAACACACTTTGTTTGTGCAAGTGTCAGAGGACATGGGGAACTGGCAGAGCAAGATGGCACAGGCTGATGCCTTTGCTTGCTCTGGGGTGTCTCTGGGAGATAATGAATTTTTAATGTTTTTTAGCATTGCAAGTAGGACAGCCTGGGAACGACAGCCTTCCTGATGAATAGCTTAGTAGCTATTGGACACACAAAAAGCAAGGGAGTTGACAGCCAGCTAAATGATCTTCACATTTGACTTCAATCCATTGAGTTGAACAGCAGCTCAGCACTTTCCTTGGGTTTCTTTTTTTTCCCCCCTCCAAATTACAGGTTAATTTGTCTGTAACCAAGGGTTTTTCTAGCAGTTGGGTTTGGAGGAGGCTGGAGTGTTCAGGTTGAATTTCTTTGTGTTCTGGGTGGTTCATCCTTTGGCTCTTTAGGGAGTCTGGTCTGGCCCCTCAGAATCCCTGTTCCTTATATGAGGTGTTAAATTTTAAGTGTCATTTGTAGCTTCAGTGCAGCTTTGGAGGGGATTTCTTAGGATGTTTTTCTGAGAATCTAGGGGACAAAATCCAGACTGGCTCTCTGTGGAAGAAGAGTGAGACACAAATGCCTGAGGGAAGGGAAGGTGTTTTCCAGGGAAGGTAATTGCCTGGCAATTTTCCTGTCCTTGCAGAATGGTAATCCAGCCATTACAAGCTTCCTTCCTTTTAGCTTCCTGTTTCCTGGGTGCAGAACCGGGCTGTGCTTGCACACACAGGGCTCTGTAAGCCGAGTGGAAAAGGTGATGTTGTCTGAGGGGGCCATCACCTCTACTCCCCAAATTTATGTCTGTGTGTTACAGCAAACTCGGTAAAGCAAAGGCTTGTATTTTCTCCTGTTGAAGAGGCCACATCTGAAGTGCTTCAGGCAGAGAGAAACCAGTGAAGAGGATGGGTAAAGGAACACATTGGCCTTCACAGATAAACTTGTTTGGTGCTCTAAAAACAGTGGCTGGCAAGAACTTGAGGAAACAGAGGGGGATAGCTCTTGGTGAGCATGACATGTGATTGTTGAGAGCTGATCTACAGAGAAAGGAGAAATCTATTAAAAATGGATGACCTTGGGTAAAGAACAATATAGGAAATAGAGAGATGCCAAAGATAACAATGCAAGTAATTCCCTTGGGTTTATCTTTATTTGTTTACTCTTGGGTTGCTGCTGTGCTGGCGATGTGAAATACCACGTTAAGGTGTTGCTCTTTTTGTAGCAAAGGCTGTTTGGAGGGGAGAGTTAAAACTATTTATTCTGAGACAGCAAAAGGTCTTAACACACTTCACTGGCATGTTTACTTTTGTTGTAATATAAGTTAATACACGAGGGAAAATTCTTCTTATAGTGTAATAGGAGAGCAAGCTAAAAGGGAAAAAGTAACAGTAGAGAGTTTCCAGTTATTCTTTCTGAATAAATGCAGAGTTTTTTAGCTTTGTTTCTATTTTTCCCAGGATGTTCAGAAAGGGAGGGTGGATACTGTTGCAATGGAGGTGTGTCCTTTCATATTAGATACAATATTTCAAACAGAAGCTCCCAGAGCCCGGAGCAAACTTGTAAGAATTTAACTATGTTTGAAGTCACTGTGGGAGGTGTCAGAAAGGAAGCCATGGTGAGTGTGTGTTATCTTTGTTCTGTAGCTGCTCTAAAATGTGCCAGCCATGTGCGGCCTTAACAAACAGAACTGCTTACTCACTGCCTGACTGCAAAGTTCTGTGCTGAAAACATTAAAATTTAGGGTTGTCTTGACACACAGCCAGCGAAGCCGATAACTGAAAATAATTCTGGAGCATGGTATTTTTGTCAATCACTTAATAGTGATCTATTGTTGAGGCTGTGAGGAAGAAGGAGCAGGACATTGTGCTGAAGCTGGTACAGATCTGAAAAGTCATACAGTGACAGGATCTCAAAATAATCAAACAAACCCTGAAAGCTCACTAAGAGCCTGATCAACCAATGCAAGTTACAGCATGAATGCCTCCATTTGCCTTTAAAACACTCTCCTAAATCAGGAGTTGGAGAGACTGCTTGGAATGACTGTTCTGGGAGCTGTATAGCTCAGTTTTGTAGTTTACAGTGTGCTTCAATGGAGGAGGAGTAATTGTCTTTTGATAAAGGCATAGGTTAAAAGCTGTGCTTGTAAATAGTTGGGAATCCTTGATTCCACTGTTTAAACTCCCGCTCTTGACTGACTTCATTCAGAGCCTGACTCTGCCTTCCAGATCCTTCCCACCACTGTTCAGTGCCAGGATCTGAAAGGGAAGAATAACTTTCCCTCAACCAAGTGTATTCTTGTTTATTGTCACCCTGCCAGAGCTGACAGCTCTTTGGCTGGCCACTCTGGCTTTGAAAATAAACTATTCTTAAGGCTTGCAGATCAGTAATGCTGGAGTTTGGAATGGGCTGTAAATATTTTGCTAACCATACATTATTGGAAGCTTTGAAGTCTTACTCCTGCACTCTCCCTACTCAAGGATAATATGCAATGAAGCTTTTTACTGGGAGGGACAGTGACAAGCTTCAAGCTCTTGTGTGACAAAAATCAGGCGTGCAAAGCACGTTTTTCTTCAAATAAATGGGTCATTCCTCTGAAGCCCAGCGCAAACAGGCTTTATAAATCAACAGCTGAGCAGGCTGCAGAGTGCCACCTATAAAGCAGTGTTTATCTGGCTGTTTGGTGAGTGGTGCCCGTGTACCTTGTAGATGCACTGGTAATTCAGCTTGAAATCGATCCTCTAATGGCCTTCAACAAGGCATGAGAAATGGGAAAGCGATTGTTCATCTGCTGTAACATTGCCACAAGCTTCATAGCAATGGAACACCTGAACTCCTGCCTCGTGGTGACAGAGTAATTTTACAGGGTTTTGTGAGGTGCAAACAGCATTGATGTAGAGGCAACACCTGTACAGCTAATAGGTTTGAGCAGGTTGGGTTTATGTTTTGTTTTATTTTGTGTTTTTTTTGTTTCTGTGAAGTTTGGCAGCAGGGCCTTGTAGGCTTGGGCTGTGGTGGATTTCTTTGGAGGCTGCCTGCTGTAGGATTTTAGGAGTTGTTTCTTGATTGGTTACTGCAGTGTGGGGCATTGTCTCCTGAGGAAACTTACTGACACATAGGATGGATTTAGAAACTGGGAGAAGTTGTGAACTGCAAACAGGTCCAGACAGCACAATTAAAAATATAAAAAGCTTGGAAAGTCAGTGAAAGCATGCATTTGATTCACTCATCCTGCTGATTGCTTATAGTGCAGATACTTTACATTTCTTCACCAACACTGTCCTGAGAAGATATTCTGGATCTTGCTTGAAAGCTCTGTAGTTGCATGGCAGTCCCACATGGGATGGGAGGTAATGTCCAAAAAAGGACTGGTACATTTTTCACCCCCACAGATTTTTCTGACACAGTTGAAGACCTAACCAAGAGAAAAAAAAGGAAGTGTAAATAGATTTAGTGGGTTTGAAAAGTATGCTAGAACATTCCTTAAGAACATTCTTCAAGCTTTCTGTTTATGGTCAGTGTTTTGGTCTCTACCTGCTCTTCAGCCTTGCATGCAATGTGTGCATTGTTGTGGCTCCTAATCTCAAATCTATCCTCCCTCTCTCACTGGCTGTGTGAGAACAGGATGCTTCATGTGGGAGGAGGAATGCAGGCAGCAATCACAGGCTGGCTCCCAGCTGAAATGCCAGTAGGGCAGGAGGACAGGGAGCTTGTAGCTTTGGGAATCAGCTGTCTGTAGGGTACATTTCTGTAATGAGCAGCTTTGGTGTTTCAAATCGTCTGGTGGTTCTTGTGTGCTAAGCCTGATGGTGTTCACAGGGGTCTGAGGATGAGGGAAGAGACGAGGATCTGACTCCATGTTTCAGAAGGCTGATTTATTATTTTATGATATATATTATATTGAAACTATACTAAAAGAATAGAAGAAAGGATTTCATCAGAAGGCTGGCTAAGAATAGAATCAGAAAGAATGATAACAAAGGTTTGTGTCTTGGACAGAGTCTGAGCCAGCTGACTGTGATTGGCCATTAATTAGAAACAACCACATGGGACCAATCACAGCTGCACCTGTTGCATTCCACAGCAGCAGATAACCACTGTTTACATTTTGTTCCTCTCAGCTTCTCAGGATTAAAAATCCTAAGGAAAGGGTTTTCCATAAAAGCTGTCTGTGACATAGCTGTATGTAGGGTAAATTTCTGTAATGAGCAGCTTTGGTGTTTCAAATCAGCTGGTAGTTCTTGTGTGCTAAGCAAAGTGAGGTTTTGTATTTTGGGATATTAAGTTTTTTTTACAAAGGTGGATGATGGGGGAGCAGACTGCTGAGGTGCTGAGGCTCGGGAAGTTCAACCTTTACACCTTTTCCAGTTTTTTTTTTTTCCTTTGATTCTGTAAGCTGTTTTTGGGACAGGCCAGAAGTTTCTGGATTGCAGTGAACAAAGAGGTGGCACCTGGGAAGGCTGACTGAGTTTGCTCTCTCTGGCAGCCGTGGCCAGCCCTGTGCTGTGGCAGAAGGAGTGTGCCAAGGGGCCCGAGGTGTGGTGCCAGAGCATTCGCACGGCGTCGCAGTGCGGGGCGCTCAAACACTGCCAGCAGAACGTCTGGAACAAGCCTGCCGTGGTAAGTGCCGGCCTCTGAGAGCGCCCAGCCCCGCCTGGGCTCAGGTGGCTGCTGTCCACACGCTCAGGGAGGCTTCCCAAGTCTCTGATGGGAGCTAAGTGCTGCATCAGGCTCTGCCGAGCTTGCTGTGCCGTAATTTGGGTGCTGGATGGAGGTTGCTTTTCGCTGCTCTGCCTTGCACAACTTGTCTGCTGACTTCTCCCGTGACCTGTTGCACAACCACCCAGCAATGTATGGAATGGAGCTAGTGGATTTCACTTGTTCCTCTGCATTATTACTGACTCCTCATTCAAAGGAGTCTTTTCTGAACTTGAGCAATTGTTATGAAAAGGCTGCGTGTTTGTTTCGGTCTTTCTCAAAGGTTAAAATTCCCAGAAAGATGCACCGTGTGCTAAATTATGGGAGGCATGACAGAAAATAATAGTGCAAATGTTACATTTAGTAACACCCCTTGATCCCCCATACGTATTCTTTAACTTTTGCAAGTTTAAAGAAAGGCCTGGAAATACCAACCAGGCACAGTGGAAAGCAGCAGCCTGAGCTTGCAGATGGCTGAAATGCAGCTTTGGAATATGCAGCAGGCTTCCCAGGCAAGGCACTCAGTGCAGTGGTGCTGGGGAGTACGAGGTTCTCAGGAGCAGTTCAGGCCTGTGTCTTGTAATGCACGGCCCTGCTGTCTCCAAGATGTCCCTAAAATGACATTTCATTCACTGCAGCACACTCTGCTAGATTGTTACTGAGACAGCAGCTACATGACCTGTGTGGAGATGTGATAATTACTTGAACTGAGTACATTTTTCCAGTAGATAATGGATTTGATTAATGTGGCCTCTTCATCTTCAATTGAATGGAATGTCCATCTGCAGATCACTGTCTGCTGTGTTCTTACATTGCCACCTATCATGCAGTGCATACACACATCATTTTCTCATGACTTCACTAGATGTAGCTGTAGCTTGGGTATTGTTTCACAGTTTTCTAGGGGAGAAAAAGGTGTTTTACTTACAGATGCATTCAGTCCACATTGGCTATATCTGTGCAGAGATACTTCAGTTTAAGGAAAAATAGGGGAAGGGAGGAATGTCAGAGTACAGCTGCAATGGTTGAAGCAGCCTGAAGTGTTCTGAGATTTCTAGCAAGTGTGAACTCTGAAGGCAAAGGTAAAAGGAGAAGGTGTCTTGGGCCAATCAACTTTGTATTTCAAGGGACTGGGAGGAGGTGAAATGAACAAGTGCTAGCATGCCAGCTTTCATCCAGCATTGGTTTACTGACGAAACTGTAGCTGGACATGCCTGAAATAGCCTCATTCTGTTTAAAAATACCTCTCCCCACGCTGGCCTCACCTTTCTTCCTTAATTCCAGATGCAGTGTTTGCCCTTTGTGCTGTTGTTCACACTCTGCTCTTACAGGCACTCAATTCTTTCTCCAAGTAACTCTCTGCTTCTCTCTCCAGAGCAGTATTCCCTGTGACTTGTGTAAGGAGCTTGTGACAGTTGCTGGCAAAATCATAAAGGATAATGGCACTGAGGTAAGCAAAGCTCCTTTTCTCCTCATCCCAAAACACTGTTTGGTTTCAAGGTCTCGTGGTGAGGGAGTGGAAGAATAATCTGTGGTGTTTTCCTAACATAAGCAGCAGATGTTGAAAGGGACTAGAGTGCATGTGGAAGGGCTTTTAAACAGCCTCTGCTGGTTTAGAAATTAGCAAATTCTAGAGCCTCCCATGCCTTAACAGATCCCTGATTGACTGTAGTTGCTTAATAAAGCTGTTCTTGTGCCAGTGGGGCACCAATATTAAAAGGTGGGGTACTGCAGTCTCCAGCAGTGGGTGGTTGCACCAGCTGCCCTTTGTTTGGTTTGTGGGCACTGCTTCCCTTTTTCTTTTGTCAGCCTGTGGGTACTTTGTATAAACAAGTCACTGTCCCATGAGCCCAGAAGTTCACTTTCTCCTCTTAATGGTAAATGTTCTGTTCTGGCAGGGCTGGGCTGTGCAGCCCACACGAGCAGTGTGACATGTTTGTGCTGTGGCAGGATCCCATCGAAGCTCCAGAACTGGGGAAAGTGTGTCTCTGTAGTGTAGAACTCATTCTAGTTCTGCTTGTTGCCACCTGGACCTACCTGGGTCCGAGGAGCTTGTTTCAGGCTTTGTATTGTGCATTTTGGGAATGGAAGGAGCATTTGAGAGGGAGATATAATCCATCTCTGCTCACCTCATCTTTGATAGGATGAGATCCGCTCCTACCTGGAAAAGACCTGCGAGTTTCTTCCTGACCCAGGCCTCGTCTCTGAGTGCAAAGAAATTGTGGATTCCTACCTGCCAGTTATCATGGATATGCTCAAGGAAGAGCTTGTAAGTAGATAACAGTTTTCAGCTGTTGGTCATAAAAGTTGTGCTCCTCTTGATGCCAGGATTTGTCTTCTGCCTCGGATTGCGTGTATGAATCCTTTGTGGATCACTGGCACTGTTAGTTTGAAGACTCCTTCCTTGCTATGAAAGGAGTTTCCTTGTTTTACCGTGTTTCAGCTGAATGACTCTCTACTCTGAACTTTAAAAGTGACCTCAGTTTGGAGCTTTGTGTGTGTACCTTGTCTCCCCCAGGATAAACCTGAGGTCGTGTGCAGTGCCCTTGCTCTGTGCCACTCCCTGCAGAAGCACCTTGCATCAGTGAAGCTGCAGAAGCAGCTGCAGACCAACAAGATCCCAGAGCTGGATTTCTCTGAGCTGGCATCCCCGTTCATGGCTAACGTGCCTCTTCTCCTCTACCCTCAGGAGGAGAAGCCCAAGCAGAAGCCTAAGGTAAGCCTAGGACTAAGGGCTAGTTCTAGTTCTAGTGTGGACCATGTGTATAATCTTGGATTAAGTTCTGCAGTCTGCAGAGGCAAGTCCTGTGATGTGCTGTTGCCATCCAGGACTGTGATAATCAAGCAGATTTTGCTGGAAACAATTTCTCCTGAGAGAAAGCTTGGGTTCAAAGGTTCACAGGAAGAACAGCTCTTCCCCTATGGTGAGCAACCTGCTAGCTGTGCCCCTCAGGGGATGCGTTTGTCTCTGAACGTAAGGGTGACAGACTGGGTTGGAAAAGAACAAATAGTTGACAAAGGGGAATAGATGAGGCAATGAGCTTGGTGCACAGGCTGAGTGTTGACAGCAGGCCAGGGTGTGGGAGCTGAGCAGTGAGTGGGCTGAGAACAAGCTGCTGTGGGTGGAGCAGGTAAGATGTATGCCAGATTTAGAAACTTCCCCTCTGTGGTCTGTAACAAAACCAAAAGATTTGAAGATTGGGTATCTTAACTATTATCTTGGCTTTGGAGCCAAGTAGGTACCTAATCTCCATCTAGTGGCTGCTGCACACACAGCAGTGGCTTGTCTGTCTGCCTACTAGCTGAGGCTTCAAAGTGTTCTCCAGAGTATTTATTAAGGTTTGTACATAGCTCAGAGTGGTTTATGAAACTTGGTGGTAACAGGAGCTTCTGAAACATGTCATGTGAAGTTGTGTCAGCTTGAGTTTCCTTTCTCTCTTTGTCCAGGCCAGTGGGGATGTGTGCCAGGATTGCATTCAGCTGGTCACTGACGTTCAGGAGGCTGTGAAGACAAACTCCTCTTTTGTGAAATCCTTGGTTGCTCATGCCAAGGAGGAGTGTGACCGTTTGGGACCTGGCATGTCTGATATGGTAAACTGTCCCTTTTGATTGGAAAATTCTGTTCCTGTAAGCAAACATAAAACAGTTTGTTCGGTGCCTTAATCCCCTGATCATATTCTCTATTTAGTATCACAAAGGAGATTCTGTAGCTTGTGTTAACACAGTGTAACAGTAACACCACTGGAATTGTAAACTTTGTGGTCAGGAATGTTGGGTGGGATGTGTGGGACTGGGGAGCAGGAGAAGGACTCCAGATTGCTTCTAGCCCTTAAAGGCCTTTTCCACAAACATGGTCTGGGTGGGTAACGGAGTTGTGTCAATAGGGGCTGGGCCTTTTTGCCCTGAGAGGAAGAGAAAAGGTTAAGCAGTCACCTGTGCAGCAGTTTTGTAACCTGAAATACCATCTTGTATTTGGGCCAAGCTCTAAAAGACCTGTTGTTATGCAGTAGAACAGGTAACTTAATACCTTGAGATGTATTAGAAAATTCTAGATGGACTCTACAGCGCAAGTGGTTTTGTAGTCATGAGGCTTTCTCTTCCCACTTTCTGCAGTGCAAGAGCTACATCTCTGAGTATTCTGACCTGGCCATCCAGATGATGATGCACATGGTAAGATCAGCAGAGTGCAGTGTTTGCTCTCAGTTCATTTTTCTGGCTTGTGTAGCTAACTTCCTTGGAAACAGGAAATGTGCGCTGCAGTAAAACTTTGGGGAGGGCCCTAAGTCTTGGTGTTAATGCTTTCAACTTTGTGTTTTTTGGATAGCAGTTTCAGTTTCAGGATGCTTTCTTTAGCACATTTCCTTCCATTTTATAATCACTTTTGCAGTGCAAAAGGCACTCTAATCCTTTGAATTATGAAGATACACTACACGTGTTCCTTTATATTCTTTAATCTCAGTCCTGTGCTTACACCACTTCCTCTCTCCCCCAAATACTGTGTTAAGGACATAAGAGTTGGCTTTGTCACAGTATTGCAAAATTAGTTTAATCAATTAATAACCTCTTTGTCCAGAGAGCTGAGGGACTTCAAAAAACATGGCTAAGCCTTTCCTGAGTGCAGTCTGTGGATGCCACAGGTGACAGAACAAACTACAGGTGAATACCTGGCTGACTTGAACCTGAATTTGGCAACATAGTGGCCTTTTCTTGTTTCCAGTTGCCACAGGCTCTTAGAAGCTCATCCTATTCTTAAACATTTGGGGGGGAAGTCAATGTTTCCTCCAACAGCACTTAGTTTCTCATTCTCAGCATTGCAATGCAGTGTGTTGTTAATGGCTGAAATTGGAATATGACTACACCTTGTGTGCATCTGAGTGTTGGCCAGACTCTCTGGAGGTAGTCTTGCCCAGGATGCCTTCATAACTGCAGATGAATTATGCTGGTTAGTACTGTGCAATTAAATGTGAGTTTATAAATGCTGTAGCTGAGGATCTTTGGGGTGGGGACTGTGTCATATTCCATTGTCTTTGTGCAAAGAATAGATGCAGTTCCAAGTGCTTGATGTGTTTTTTTCTCTTAACTGTTATCTTCAATTTCTCCTTTCTTCCTCTGTCTCCAATCTCCCCTGCCAACAGAAGGATCAGGTAGGTGAGCAACTTGCCTGTGGTGATAGCCTGCTTGTAGTTCACCCTTTGCTCTTAAAGGCCTTGTAGTTCACTTCTGGCTCTCTTAGCTGTACACTTGGTGTGACTGTGCTCAGTGCTGACAGATACAAGGGATATTTATGTGATTAAAACAGACTAAAGGCTTCCTCCAGTGCATCAGTCCTACTTCAGCTCCAGATACCACTTTGTGCTACCAAGATCTCAACTTGATTATGCTTTGGTCAGTAGAGCAGAAATATCCTCCCTCTTACACAAGAAGGATAGATGTGGAACAAGCATGCCAGTGGCTCCTGGCAGCTGCTGGTTTAAACTCTGGGCTCCAAAGGGCTTGAGCAAAGCTGTCCCCAGCTCTTTCCTTGGTTAACCTTTAAATCTAGGACAATGGTATAGGTGTTTGAAGTATATGAACTGAAAAGGTGAAAGCTTCCTAGAGCAATTTGGGCTTTTAATTGAAGCTGTCCTGTGGGACCTTGTGTCTGTCACCCCTCTGTGAGGGAACCTGTGTGTATGTGGGTGTTGCTGTAACATTAATACCTGGAACTGCTTCTTACAGTGCATGAACCAAAGGGCTTGACTTAAAGGTGCTGCCTGGAGTGGTCTGAAGCAGCACAGTGTCTCTGAGGTGCTGCTTCTGCCTGTGCATGAGATTGTGGCATGATGTGTTAATATTAACTCTGGGATAAGCCTCTGCTGTAGGAAGCTTGGAGCAGGGTGAGATGTGATCTTCTAATTACCTGGACGACCAGGGGTGTCTTTTTCTAGCTTTAGGTGAGAAAATGCAAGTTGTGTGTCTCACTCTGTACAGCCTATCTCACTTTGGGTGTCCTCCTCGGAACAGTTTGCCTCATGTCTGGCATTTCTTTGTGCGTTTAGTAATGTATGTTCCAAAAAATAAATGCATGAAGAGTGTATTTCTTTGAGAAAGGAAGCCTTTTTACAGACTTGGTTCCTGTTTGCTGTTTTCTCTTACTGTGAGAACACTGCAAGTTCAATTGTTGCAGTACAAATGGTTAGCCTTGGGTTTTAACAAGCTCAACTTTTGTTTCTTGTAGGCTGTGTTCAGTAATGAGAGAAATTGTTTCTGTTTGCAGAACATGATGTTTCTGGCAGCTTTAAAGAAGGTAGCTTTTGGATGAGGAAAGAGGTTCTTCTAGGCATTTCTCTCAGCTTCTGGGTGAACTCTGAAGTCAGGATAATTGGCCTCTCCTGTGATTACTTGAAGCTGGGGAGCAGCTTTGTGGATGCAGCTCTGATGTGACGCTGCTGGTGGCTTGTTCTGGTGTTGGTAGCTCTTAAGTCAATTCCTTCTGAAGGGCTTGCAAAGTGTGGGCTCATGGGTTTTTTTTAAATGGGGTTTTTAACCTCTTCCTCTTTAACAGGAACTGCTAAATTCCATCCAGTAGCTGTCCTGCCTATAACCTTACCAAATGCTTTGGCAATACTTGAAGTAGAAGTAGTCATGAAAGTTTGTGTTGGAGCCTATCAAAATTTTGCTCTCTGTGCCTGCTCACAGGCTCTGTAGAAAGGGCAGAGACTTCTAGTCTTTAAAAATTGCTTCCACATCTCTTTCCAGCAACCAAAGGACATTTGTGCCATGGTTGGGTTCTGTCCTTCTGTGAAGTCTGTTCCCCTTCAGCCTCTGGTGCCAGCTCAGGTGGTTCATGAGGTGAAAATGGAAATTGTGGAGGTAAGATGGGCTTTTTGTACTGTGCTTTCCTTTCCTTTTTGCTTTAGTGTAACAAACCAGGTGAAAAAGATGAGCTTTCATGCACAGAATAGCCTAAGCTTCCCTGCATATAAATTCCTGGCCTTTTCTTGTTTCTGATGCTGATTTGTGAAGCAGGAAAGCTGATTGATTTGTTTGAACAGCAGAGCCTGCACTGAACCAGAGCAACAAGGGAATGCTTTAGGATTGAAAGGGGAACTCTTGTTCCAGCAGTTCTGAATGACACCTTAAATGCAAATTCTCAGTTTGAGTTTTGCTCTTTGTTTGGAGTAATGCTTTGATCCCTTTTAAAAATGGGGCAGCACTATGCATGTGCAGATGAGGGATCAGAGTCAGAATGCTGAAGCTCTGAGTTTGAAGAAGCACCTTGGCTTCTCCAAAGGGTAGTTTTGCAAACAGGAGGGTGCTCTCAATTCTAGGAAATGTTGTCCTCCCTTAATGTATTTTAAAAACCACTATATATTTCCCTTGACTTCTGTCTCCGTGGGATTGTTTATTGCTTTGTGTCTACTGAGTTCAACTCTTTGTACAGCCTGGGGTTGTAGTCTTAAAATTAGTCATAAAAATGCCTGTTCATTCAGACAGGCTTTTTACTGAGTCCTTTGAGGCTGGTTTTGGGTTCTGTGTGACCTTTTGAATACAGCCCAAAGTGAGCAGCTAGGTAAATGCTGTTAGGAGTTGTCCCTGTCAGATGTGGTCCAGTGCTGATTTATTGCGTGTGTATTTCTTCTTCTGTGTACTCAGAAGGCCACAGTCCAAGAGAAGGAGAAGACTTTTTCCTTGTGTGAAATCTGTGAGACCATGGTGAAAGAAGTGACTGGTCTCTTGGAGAGCAACAAGACAGAGGTGTGTGAGGGGTGGGCATTGTACCCTTCCAGCTTTGGCTGGGACAGGACTGCACTGAAGGGGGAAGGAAAATCCGTTCTGTTGCCTGTTTTCACCACAGCAACATTTCTATCCTGGGTGGGACACAAAAGGTGTGCTTATAAACTGAGTCAGACCTCTGTCCCTCGTTTTCTCCCCCTGCCTGTGCTGCAGGAGGAGATTGTGCATGAGATGGAGGTGGTGTGCCGCCTGTTCCCGGGCAGCGTCAAGGACCAGTGCAAGGACTTCATCGAGGTCTATGGCCAGGCTGTGATTGACATGCTCTTGGAGGCAACAAATCCTGAAGCTGTGTGTGCCATGCTGAAATGCTGTGCAGCCAGCAAGCTCCCCCAGCAGCCAGGTGGGTGAGGAGGGGTCTGAGGTGTTCAAAACGAGCTGCTTCACCTGTGAGGAGATCTCTTTTTGAGGACACTGCTGATACTGCCTCCTTCCTTCTCTTTCTCTTTACCCAAGCACTGATGTCTGCTTTGGTTTTTTATTTCCCTTCTCAGTTGTGGTGAAACCTGCAGGTGGCTTCTGTGATATCTGCAAGATGGTGGTGGCTTATGCAGACAAAGAGCTAGAGAAGAATGCCACGACAGCTGAAATTGAAGCTTTGCTGGAAAAAGTCTGTCACTTCCTGCCAGAGTCTGTCAGTGAGCAGGTAAGGTGTTTGTGCCATGGTCTTGGTGTTTACATAGGTCCTAACACTGATAGTTAAGCTCAACCTCATTTTCTGAGTGTTTCATCTGACATTTTGTCTATATGCTAATTTTAGGTCCGTCTCTCAAGTGTCTCTGCTTCTGCTATAAATGTCCAGGTACTCCTCACAGAGGTCTCTGTGTTTGGCCAAATGCCTTGTCTCTGGCTGGAGACAAACTGTCCACAGGTGCAGCTGGGACTGGCTTGTGTCCAGCAACCTGATCCTTCTCAGGTTTTTCCCTGTACTAATTAACATCAAAGCACAGCAGCTTCTCCTGTCCAGTAGAGCAAACAAAAAAAGGGAGGAAAGGCTTGATCTGGGGCAGTTGAATGCCCTTGCTGTGTGGCAGCCTGCCTTCCAGTCAGGGCAGGGCAGATGGAGATGAACAGAAGGATGAAACACAGAATCCTGGGATGCTTTGGGTTGGAAGGGACCTTAAATCTGTCTAATTCCAACCCCCCTGCCATAGGCAGGGACATCTTGCAGAGTGTTTGGGAAAACTAGAGAGCACTTCTGTTGGTTTTTGTAACAGCATTCTCTGCTGAAGGCTGGGAGGAGTTTGGGGTGCAGGGGGATTAGCTTTGCTCAGTTCCCATCCTTGGCAGTTGGCAGGCCCTTGAATAGATGTCTGCTTTAAGGCTCTGAATTGACTGCCTGGATTGTTGCACTAATTTGCAGTCAGGAAAGGTTTGCCTGGAAATCCTCTGAGAACAGTGGCTGGGAACACTTGAAGGTTTTATTTTTATTTTTTTCTCAACACTGATCCTGCTCAGGGGATTAATGAAGTAATTGAAGGTAGGCTGGTGTAATTCCAGTGGGACACCTGTTACACCACTGATATCAAGATTTACCTGAAAATCTTATTAGGTGGCTGCTGAGTGTCAGCAAGTGGCAACTGCTTGTGAGTTTACTGGGGATAGAGTAGAGGCTTAAAGCAGCTGTGGAACAGCTCTTCCTGCTGTGAGGCAGTTTAATAGCTGTGGTTGGTTTATTAATTGGTGCTGTTTGTCTCTGCTGAGAGCAGCAGCATCTCCCTCAGCTCTGGAGCCAGCTCTCCACTAGAGGGAGAGAGGCTGTTCTGGCAGGCAGTGCTCCTGCTGCAGCCTTGTCTGAGGGAATAACTCGAGTCCCAGTGCCTGGGAGTCCTTGCTGCTGTCCTGCTCAGGGAGTTTGTCTCCAGCTGGTTCTGTGTGCTTCCCTCTTGAGACAGGCGTGATCTCCACCATCAGAGATGAAGCTTTGCAGTCAAAGCTTCCTCTGCTTGGTTTTTTTCCCAGAGCCTGTCCTGTTTGGTTCTTTTCCTTGTGACCCCTTATCTCCTCATAGTGTGTCTGCAGGCAGGTCTGAGCTGGCAGAAACAATGCTGTAGTTGTGTGATTAGTGCCTGGCTCCTGTGCAGAGCTCAGGCCTCTGCTTTACCCTTGTGGAGTGTGGTGTTGGGGTGGCACACAGGCCTGCCTGCTGCAGCCCACACGTTCCTCTGCTTTCAGGGGCTCCACAGGAGAATCTCTCACCCTGTGTTTTGTTACAGTGTGTGCAGTTTGTGGAACAGTATGAACCCGTGGTTGTGCAACTCTTGGCAGAGGTGATGGATCCCACTTTTGTTTGCACTGTGAGTATTGAGTTTGGTTTTATTGAGGGCAGGCTCTGATACAGTCCTGGGTGCCTTTCAGCGCCCAGCAAGCAGAAACTGTGCTGGAATCAAAATCAGCACACTGAATGCTTGGAGCAAGCCCCTTGTGCAAGGGCTGGGGCTGCCTGAATGGCCAGCTGTGTGACTGCCAGCCCAGCAGCAGGACAGACTGCCAGGGGTTACCCACTGCTGGGGTTCAGTGACAGGCTGGGATGTGCCCTCAAAGGGACATTTCTGAGAAAGGCCCCTCTCCGGAAGATCTGTTTTTCCAAAGTTGATACGGAGGAGTTCCATAACTGAACCCTGCCCTGGCTCAGGTTGGCTGGCTGCTGGTTCAGCTGCAGGTGTGAGCTCAGTGGGAGCTCCTGCAGCTGCCTCAGTGCAGCTTCCACACCCCCTCAGGGGCAAGCTCAGCCATAAGGCTGGACTGGAGATCTCTTGGTGCACTCGGGAAGGTGCTGACTGTGCTGCTGCTCTGTTCCCAGAAACTTGGAGTGTGTGAGTCAGCTAAAGAGCCTCTCCTGGGGAATGATGCCTGTGTCTGGGGTCCGGGCTACTGGTGTAAGAACATGGACACTGCTGCCCAGTGCAATGTAAGTAAAGCTGCCTTGTACCTCCAGTTTCCTTCTGATCCTTGACAGCTCCTTCTGAGCCATTTTTGGCTTCTACTGCACTTCAAAATGGATGAACTCCAGTTCAAAAGGCTACTAGTTTGATTAGAGGGTGTTTCATAGCTCTTAGCTTTCTCACAGCTGACTTTCCTCTCCTTTTTGTGTCCCACACCTGTCTGCCAGTATTTCAGAATCTACAGTAAGGTACAGTGTCAGCTTTATATTTAGTCAGTGTTTCTGCAGCCAGCAGGCCGTGTCACAATCTCTCAGCAGGCTCTAAAAATTGGCTTCCAGTGTTGCTTTTTGTGCCAGGCCTTAACGGCTAAGGGTCATCAGCCTTCTTTCCTAAAGCTCCTTCCTGGCTGCTGAGGCTCAGGATGTTATTTATTCTAGTCCTCTTTGAAATCACTTACTTTAAGAAAAACAGATTTGCTCCCAAGATCTTGGCTCAGGATAGGTGTTGAACTGCTTGTTTGCAAACTGGCTTTTTTCCACTAATATCAGCTATTTCTTCCCCTTTAGGCTGTTGATCACTGCAAACGTCATGTGTGGAACTAGAAGAAGAATTTCCAGTTCTGAAAGTTTGCCATGGCTCTTAGGAAATGTGGGCCGAGGTTGGCAGAGAGCTGTATCTCACCTGTCCCTCCTCTCTGCCTCATTAACAATTTGACCTTCAAGTTCCTTTGTTGTAACTCTTCTGTAGCAGTGCTGCTGTTGAAGGATCAGATTTTCATTGTTGACTTAACAAAGATACTTCTGATTGTACAGTTTAACCCATTATGCTCCTAAAAATAGTCAGTGTGTTGTAGATTTTTTTTTTTTTGAATTGGTAGGCTGAAGTGTTTATGTGCTGGGAAGAATGACAGAGATTGTGAAATGAGACAACGCTCTTATCTTTTCATTTTTAAAAAAAGAGCAAGACAGCAGCTAAACTTTCAAATGTCTTTCTGTAGGCAGCATTGGGAAGGTTTTACATGCTTTGCATTTTTAACATCTGGCTGGAATGTTTATTTTCTGTGTATGGGAACTCTAAGGGATAATGTTGAATCTGAGAATCCTTTTGGCTGGAATTTTCAAAGCTCTGCAGATGCAGAGGAGTGGGCTTTGTGTGCCCTGCTACCTTTCCAAGTCGCTGATAATTAAAAAGATGCATTTGAATGATCAGCCTTTTGCATTTGAGTGACCACGCTTGTGGCTCGTGGGGTTGTTCTAGCTAAGGAAAACCCTCCCCCAGCCTTTGATCACATCCTTCTGATTTCCTTGGGCTGCTCAGCCCCAGCACGGGTGTTTGCTGCCAAGCCCAGTCCCGTGGGATGTCAGTTTCCTGAAGCATGCTGGTGTACCTGAGGCATGACTCCCTTTTTCCTTATCCTGGTTGCTCAATTCTGCTTGGTCTTGCAGCTTCCCACAGGCAGCCAGCTGGGTGCTGAGGAGGTAGCATGAGCTGGCACTGAAAGATGGAGGAGGATCAAGCCAGCAGGAGCTGGGAATATGTCAGAGGGAGCTCAGCACCGAGGGTGGAAGTTGTGGAAAAACGGGTTTTATTGTAACCTGTTTGTTCCCTGCTCTGCTTTTCCTCTCACAGCACGTTTCAGTCATCTAAAGCTTGAGAGGTGCTGTGAGGCCTGGGGGCACCTCCCACTGCTGCCCACCCACTGTCCCTGACGCCCTGCTGAGTAACTGCAGGTATGGATTGTTACCCAGAGCTCCCATTCCTGCTGGGAAATGCAGCAAGCACAGATGGCAGGTGCTAGGAGCACTAGAGGAGATATTTAAAGCTCTGCTGGCACACTTGACAGCCTGCCTTTCACACCTCTCTGAAATTCCACTGAAATGGCCTAAAATCCCCCCCAAAAAAGCCTTCAAGGCAGGCTTGCTACCCTGGGAACATGGCAGGCTTTGGGGTGAGAATCCTGCTTGTGCTGCTTGGGCCAGACCTTGCATTGGGTGTGCATTTCTGATCAGGTAAATCCCCAAAGCAGGGGCACTGAGGTGGCTCTGAGCAGACCTTTGGGAAGGAGCAGCTGGGCAGATGTGGAGCTTTGAAAATTCCAGCCCTGTTCAGAAAGATTCTGGTAACTCCTGCTGTTCTGTGGTGTGTGGGGCGTGCAGGAGCTCCAGTAACAATGCTGTAGCAGCAAGGAGGGTATTTGTCATTGGAAAACCACTGGACTGCAGGTCTTTAGTTGATCTGTGTGCATAGTAGAAGCCTGGGCATTGCTGGCAGATGGCAACAGAGGTTGTTCTCCCCTGTCTCCTGAATGCTGAAGCACTCATGGCTTTATGGAAGAGGAAAAAAAAGAGGAAAATTTCCCCTGAAGACATAAAATCCCTGCAGCTTTCTGTCCTGGCAGGCTTGTGCAGTGGTTTGGTGGCGTATCCCAGATGGGGCAGATAGGAGATGGGCTCTGTCCCTCGGGCAGTGCTGCCCTGGAGGGACAGGCTGTGTGACACCAGGGCACGGAGCGTGGCATTTGGTGTTTTAAACTGGATGGTGTGGGTCTTTCCTGGGGGAGGTGGGGCTGCACTGACAGCCTGGCAGGGTCGTGGGAAGGTTTTATTTTCCTGGGGTTTTAGTAGGATTCATGCTGGGCAAGGTGAGCCAGGGGAAGTCCTGTGCTGCTGCTGCTGGGAGTCCCTTTAGTTTTCTCCCTTCCCATGGACTGTGGCACCCGACCTGCTTGAGTCATGCTGGGGGGACACTGTGCAGTTGCTTTCTAAAGAACATTGTCTTGATTTTTTTTTCTTTTTTTTGGTCTTTTCTTTGGTTTTTTTGCACAAAAGCTTCCTTAATGAACAATAAAAACTTCTGTAAACCGATAAGTTCCCGTGTTTCGTTTTTCTCCGTGGCAGAGTTTCTTGTCAAGGTTCCCCTTGGCTGCAGGGCCAGGAGAAGGCACATCCCAAGGAATCTGGGGCTGAATGGATTCAGGTTCCCATTATGCTGCGTGTCCCATCAAGCCTTTGTTCTGCAGGTGGAAGAGGCTTGCCTGGGATTGCTGCCTCCTTTCCCTGGACAAACACAACGCCTGGTGTGAGGCAAGAGCCCCGTGTTGCAATCCTGCCTCGCAGAGGAACTCTTGATACCGGCCTTGCCTGCTGACTCGCACTCAATGTGGCTTCCCCTGTGTCCTCATTCCCTGCTTGCTTCCAAATAAATGTAAAAATGTCAGTCAAAGGCAGAGAAATAAAATATAAAAGTGTCATTCAAAGGTGCTGTCACGAGGCTCTGGGGCAGTTCTTCCCGTGTGTGCCCACCCTCTGCAGCCAGGTTAGCGTTGAGCAGCTGCTTCTGCCCTGCTGGGAGTACCTGGCTGCCTCTGGTCCCTCCCTCCCTGCCTCCCTGGTGATGATTTTATAATCAAGGCATAAAGTGAGGGGTGTGGTAATTGCCCTGCGTAGGTGTGGATTCTCACTGCTTCTCCCGGCCCATCCAAGATTCCTCAGTCTGGGAGCAGCACAGGAGAGGAACCAGCCACTGAGGACTCTTAGGAACGGCATGGAGAGCAAATGGAGTGGCTTGGTGCTGATCCTTTCTCTGTGCCTGGGCTCCTACCAAGGTAAGGCCAGGCCTGGAGGTAGGTAGGGTGTGGACAGCCCAGAAAACCCTGCCGAATCCCAAAACTGCTCCCAGCTTTGGCGTCTAAGCTCCATAATGTGCTTCCTCTGGTGCTGGAGTTGGGCAGAGGAGAGCTGGGGAAGGTGGCGCCGCTGCCTGTGCTGCCCACCTGGAGGTGAGAGCTGGAACTTTTGCCTTTGAAGGCGATCTCAGGGCAAAAGGGGATTGTTCCCTCCCTTCCCTGGGGTTCAGGCCCCGCTGGTGGTGTGCTGGGATGTGGAAGGAGGGAAGCTGTGATAGAGTGGGGAGAGAGAGAGGCTGCTCTCTCTCTGCCCTTGGTTTGGGGCCTGGCTGCTGCTGTGTGAGCTGGGGAAGCCACTTGGTTGTCACAACAGTGTGACCATGGAGCTGCCCTTGTCCTGAGGGTCCTCACAGGAGCTGCAGGAGGCAGGAAGCTGGCTCTGCTGGCAGATGGCAACAGAGGTTGTTGGCTCGCTGAGCTTTGGGAAGGGCGATGGGGTGATACTCTCTGCTCACCTCAGGAGCCCTCGCAGCGTCGGCACTTGGGTGTCTGTGAGCGAACCCTCCTGCAGGCAAGCCTCTGCTGCCGTCCTTAGTCATCCATCCCCTGCCCAAGCTGGGGAAGGCCTGCTCCCAGCCCCTGCTCCTTGTTTGAGGGCAGATCGCCGCTTCCTGTGGGAATCGCCCCCGGAATCGATGAGCCCTGCTGTGGCAAGCAAACCCCCTTGCGCCCCAGTTAGCCCAGCTTGGCAGCCCCAGTGTGACGTGCCCAGGTTTGTGGGTGCACACACATGACCCGCCCGGGGGGGACGTGTCCGGCTGTTCCAGCCGGCAACAGGCAGAGCAGGAATGTTCACCTGCGCTCGGCACGTCCGAGCCCTGCGGTGCCGCCCGCCCGGAGCCGCCGGGGCTCGGCGCGGAGGGTACTGCGGCACCCGGGCCCTGCGAGCCTCGGAGAGACGGAAGGGTTTGCCAGCTGGGAAAAGCGAATTTATGGCTCTTGGTGCAACAGGGGCGTGCGCCAGGCCGGGAACTGGGGCGCCGGGGCCCACGCTGCCACCCACCCCCGGCGTTTACATCACAACCGGCTCGCCAGGCTCTGCCGGCTCGGCCGGGGCGCTCCGGGGCTCGCAGGAATGCCGGCACAGCCCTGCCCCAGCTGGGGCTCGGAGCTGGATCCCCCCTGAGCAAAGCCCACCCCATCCCCCGGGCCGGGCAGACAGCGATAGGGCACTTGTGGCTGACCTGGGACTGGAGCATCCCTGCCTTGCTCCCTTGCCCAAAATGGCATCACTTAATAACCCTGTGCCTGTGTGCCTGGCAGCATGAGGATGCTCCAGCAGGGCTTTGGGACGTGTAGGAGAGCTCACGGGACACCTGCTGCCCGGGCTGCTTGCCCCGTGGCAGTGCTTTCCACCCGGGGAAGCTCCCCCTGCTCTCACCTACTGGGTGTTATGATTAGTCCTAATTACTTTGTGGCCCAGAACTTGCTGCTTGACCTTCGGCTCGAGCAGGGTGAGCAGTAAGTGCTGAGCTGAGGATCTCTGCGAGCCAGGAAAGTGCAGGACCAAACCACCCGTGTCTTTTAGACCCCACTGCAGGCTCCGGGCTCCAACACAGCTCAGTGAGAGATGCTGCGGGAGGACCAGCTCAGAAAAAACCTGTGGGGTTGTTGTGTCTCCCGCCTCCTTGGTTTTGGCGCTGCCCCTTAATGCCTCCGCTGACTTGCCATTCCTGTTTGCCCTGATGCTGGGCTGAAAAACATAAATATATCCCTCTGAGCTGATGGGGCGAGCGCGGCACGGGTGTGTGGGAAGCCTGGGAACCCGGGGGGACTCGCCCTGCCCCGGGGCCCGCCTGCCCCGATGGGGAAATCGGGGCTGAAACAGCTTCTGGGGCAGTGGGAATGGTGTGGGGGACTTGGACCCCTCTCCCCACAACCCCCAGCCCCGGGACTTTGCAGGGTGGGCACCTCACGCTGCAGTTTCATGGATGAGCTGGAGGCATTGCCAAAATCCAGCATGCAGGGAAAGCGGCTTTTGGGGAGAAACCAAGGTTGGGTGGAAGGAGCAGCTTCTGCCTTTGACTTTATTCCTGCTGTGCAAAATCGCAGACAGGGCTGGGGGATAAAGGCTGGATGCAAATGCTTGGAGCAGGGAGGGTTGTGCTTTGCTTAAAGCTCTGCAAGTAGGATCTGTCTGTCTGTCCCTCTGCCCCCAAATTCCCGGAGCAGCTCCTGGCCAAGGCAAGGCTGTGAAGGGCTTGGTTTGTGCCTTCTCCCCAGCTGCATCCTGGGTGGGCACAGTTCCCGGTGTGAACAAACCATCACCCCGTGCAGGATGAGTCCTGACACACCAAGGTGACAATTAGAGCGCTGCTCTTGCGCCACGCCGCCACGCTGCCGGGGCGGGCCAGGCCGGGCATTTACAGCCAGCAGAAAATGCTGTCGTGGGGAGGAAATCAAACCAAAGGAACCCCACCAAAAGTGGGGTTGCTCAATCGTTGCCGGGAGCCGTGGCGTGATTATCCAGCTGTCGTGCGGGGCTGAGCGCCGGCGCCCCGGGTTTGCCCGTTTTGCAAGATTTATTGCTGCTTTTATCAGCAGCCACCTCTGCAGCGTGTCAGAGGGTGCTGAGAGGCTGAGGATGAGCCCCAAATTCCCTTTGCTTCTGACCCTGTGACATCCCATTGGAAAAGCTGGCAGCCTGGCTGTCTTGGTTTGGAAAGACAGGAGTCTGCTGAGGAAGGCAGGAGCCTCCCCTGAAATGGAGAGTGTAAACCCTCCCCACCCTTCTCAATTGCTATGAATTTTAAATTAAGGGGCTCTCAGGCAAAAATATGGGAGCAGGAAATAACAGTTCTTTAATAGGGAAGGAAAAAAAAAAGGATAAAATAAACAATGCAGTACACTAGGATAATGCTGACAGAGTCAGAACCCAACCTGACACCCTGTGGGTCAGGTTGGAAATGTGGCTGCAGCCCTCCTGCAGTGTCAGGGGTGGCTCTGTTGGAGCAGGGGTCCTGTAGAGAAGGGTGTATTCTTCCTCTGAAGATCCAGTGGAAGGAGAGACAGCTGCTGTTCCTCTGGGGAATCCCATGGAGAAAGCCGTGCTGGTGTCTCAAAACCTCTGGATTATATCTGGGTAGCAATGCTTGGCTCCTCCCTCTGGATTATATCTGGGTAGCAATGCTTGGCTCCTCCCTCTGGATTATATCTGGGTAGCAATGCTTGGCTCCTCCCCCTGGATTATATCTGGGTAGCAATGCTT